ACCTTAATATGTGTGAATCATTATTGTCTGTTCTAATCCTGCAGTCTTCTAATAGACTATAATAGTGAAGGGAAAATCAGTGTCTTTAACTTAAGATCTGATTTGGAAAACGTTTCAACTCAACTTAAATGTTTTCTTGTCAAGGTAACATTTCTTCCCTACCTTTGGTGTGTGAGGACATGGTACGTTTTTGTGTAGTACAAAGTCATGTGGTATCCAGGGCCTTTGCCCTTGTGGCACACCTCTCCTGCCTATCCTGTTCTGTGCTGGGTTCTTAGTGCGTTGTACCATCTGAAGGTCATAGCAGTCTCCTTCAAGTACTATTCCTGTGCCTTGAGTACACAGGGAAACTGGATGACTTTCTCCAGATTACCTACTATAATGATCCAGCCAGACTTCCACTTGTGTTCTTTAGTTTGAAAGCTCTGCAGGGTCCCACATTAGTTGAGTAAATAAAATATAAAAATGGAATAAGGGCAGAAAAGTAAATGACATCTAAAGATGACAGTAGACTAGGAAATGTTGAAAGGCAGTGTTCATATACCAGTTTTATTATATCAGCAATTGATAAGTGGCGTTCAAGTGAGAAAAATCATTTTAGACCATAGTAGTAAGTGATAACAGGGAGTATTGTTGTTATTTGATTTCCAGATAGATTGTTCTGGGATGTTTCATAATCAGAAATCAGGCATGTAGTAGTGACAGTGGTAGCTACTGTTTATTGCAGTACAATTCTCAATTCTATTTTCCAGAGTCCTTTAGACACCTATCTTTGCAGGAGCCTTGTACAGTTAGGTAGTTATCCCCCCTTATTTCACAGACAATAAGAGCCCAAGAAAATGCCAGGCTTTCAAGTTTACTAGTATATAACAAAGTCAGATAAACATTAAGCTGTTTTTTTTTTTTTACGTCAAGACCTGTGTCCTTTTTGTTATGCCATGAAATGTACATATTCACTCATTTTTGCTTTAGTCCACCATGTTCTACATTGCTACTTGATATAATTACATTAAACATGGGAAATATAGAGAAGTAAACAAAAGTCACTGGTATTGTAATTATAAACAGAACAAAGAAAGCTCATAGAATACAGGTGTATGCATTTTATAATAGAGCTAAAATGTTCTTGACTTAGAGTGATCCTGCAAAGCTCAGTGGCTTGGCAGAAGGTAAGTCTTAAGTGAGTGCATTAAATACTGAGCAGTGCTTTGGGCTGTTCTTGTGTTTTTCCCTTGTGCTGATTCATGTTGGGGCATTTATTTTATTCCCTTTTACCTAACATTTTCAGACATCAATTCTTCTTCCCCTTTTCTTCCTCTCTAACTGCTCCCCATAAAAAAGAGAGGTGAGCTGGGTGCAGGTGGTTCACCCTTGTAATCCTAGTTACTCAAGAGGCTGAGATCTGAAGATCGTAGGTTGAAGCTAGCCTGGGCAGGAAAGTCCTTGAGTCTCTTATTTTGGGTTAGCTACCAAGAAGCTGTAAGTGAAGCTGTGGCTTAAGTGGAAGGGCGTTAGCTTTGAGCAAAAAAAAAAAAACTCCAGAGACAGCACTCAGTCCCTCAACTCAAATCACAAGATTGGTACACCCCCAAAAAGAAAGGGGAAAATGGTTAGATTTTCTCTTAAAAAGTGTTGTATTTACTAATTAAGTACTCTCTATCTGGCCCACACTTGACAGTTGCTATTTAGGGATTCTTGTTTCCCATTAAACATATGGCATGGTGGTCAGACCTTTCTGCAGATATTTTCCTCTTGAGCCAATAATTTCCATAATTGTGTTATTGTGCAGCCTCAAACCCAAAGCAAGATGGATAGTGGCAAGTGAAGGCAATTGCTGCCATCAGTGTGTTTTGTTGTGGTTTGCAGATGCCCATGCTGCTTTGTAACTACTGCAGCCTTTGGATTGTGGAGTAAGGGGTTGGTATGGTGGCAGTTTGGGGAAGTAGAGGGCATTTTCTTCACTTTTGAATCTTCGAACCTTATTAGTCTTTTGAACTAAATAATGAAAAGATGTGAATGAAATTCAGACTCTGAATCCACATGGTTCTTTTTTTTTTTTTTTTAATGAATGCACCCTGATAGGATGGCATCCTGCTTTGAGCAGTTTGTGCCATCTCCCCAGCTTTTCTCCTGCTCATAGGTTGCCCCTCAGAAAGATGAGCTTGTTCTTCCCAGTCCCCAAGACCTCCCAGGATTTGCTGTCAGGACCAGCTCATTCTGCTCGCCCTCCTCTGCCCCCCCAGTCCATGCAACTCTGTTTCTGGGCCTGCCAGAACACCTGTAATAAAAACACTAAAGTATATTTTAGTGTATAATGCACAATTCCAGTTTGTTTTGATGTAGGATGACTGTGAATGCCTACTATTTTTGGAAAACAGTGTTGCATAGTGAGTAAGAATGAGACTTAGGTCTTTTTATCAGTTGCCCCATATATTAGTTGTGTGTCCTGGGGCAAAAACTTTATCCTCTCTAAATTTCTTCCATTGGGGTAAAATTAACCACTTCACAGTCTTCACTATAGTCTAAAAAAAGTACCTGGTTTATTATATTTTTAGTTATAGAGTGATTTTTTAATGAAATAAAAAATATTCTTTAGATGTCAGAAATGAAAAAAGTATGCACAATGAATTAATGCACCATGATGTTCTTTTGTCTTAATTTTGTTTGTTTATTCTATGTCTTTAGTTATACCAAGGCGTTGCCATTCAACAGTGCAGTGGATGAATACAGTGCATCTTGATCACTGTTGCCTCTTTTAGCATTCTCACCCAGCCCTTCCGCACCTGTCTTAATTTTAGGTTCTGTATCCAATTTGTTTTGCCTGATAATGAAGCAGTTTGTGTATACAGTGCAAGTTGATGTGTGTCATCCCTTCAACATCTTCACCCCCCCTTCGACCCACCCTTTCCCTTATATTTCTCACTTCTGTGGTATATACAATGAATTCTTGTCTGTATTCTTTCCCCCTCCCCACTTCATTCTTCTATCCCTTTTCTTAACTTTGTAGGATATATATTAACTTTTTGACTGCATTTTCTCCTCTTCATTCATCTACTCCTCTCCCCTTGGTGCCCCCCTGACCACTTTCAAGTACCCCTTTCCTCGGGTTTATTTTGTTGACCTTTGACCTAGCCTTTTTAAAGCGTTACACTGAGATCTCCCTTGATTCTACCATATTTCAGTTAATACATTTGTGTACACTTGTGTATTTCCCAAAGTATTTACTTATATATTTATTAACAGATTATAGTTTCTACATATGAGAAAAAAATGTAAACTTTATCTCCTTTGGTCTGATTTCACTTAACTCAAAAACAAGGGATTTTTTTTTAATCTTGTTGTTGATTGTTACTGATAGATAATATGCTTCTTTGGTGGTCACAGATTTAGTCTATCTCTTTTTGTTGCTGAAAATGTGAAATTTAGTCTTTTTTTTTTTTTTTTGCCTTTCCTCACTGTTTTGGGATTATTTCCCCCTTACTGAAGGCTTATCACTTATGCTGTGGTACTGCTTTTTTCTGCCTCCTTTCCCCCAAATGTACTGCTGTGTCTTAAAAAGTCTGGGTTTTATACGTGTGTCTCTGTCTGCCTTCCAGCTTCTCTCTTATTTTTATTATAGAGGCAGATTCACAGAAAGATACAGTATCTGAAATTCATATTTTATCTCCTTAGAAAATTGTGAACTATTATTTTTGAGCCATTGATATATACTTACGAGTAGGATTCTTTAGATTAAAAGGAAACCTAGCGGGCACTGGTGGTTCACACATGTGTGAGTGGTATGTTTAGTTTTAGTGTAGTGAATTATAATTTTTTTTTTGGTCATGGGGCTTGAACTCTGGGCCTGGGCGTTGTCCCTAAGCTCTTCAGCTCAAATCAAGCGGTCTACCACTTGAGCCACAGTACCACTTCCATTTTTTTTTTCCTGGTGGTTTATTGGAGATAAAGAGTCTCAACAGATTTTCACGCCCAGCTGGTTTTGAACCGTGATCCTCAGATCTCAACCTCCTGAGTAGCTAGGATTACAGGCATGAGCCACCAGTGCCTGGCTACAAATTATTTTCAAATGTCAATACAACTTACTTTCTTAGGGTATTCCATACTTGGTGATAATTAGTGCATTATCTAGCTATTGTTAAGTTCCATTTGCTGATTTTTTTTAGGATTATTTTCATCCACGTTCATAGGAATAGTGGAGAACTTGAATGTAAAATTCTTGTCTGATTTTGGTCTTAGGCTAATCAGATGTTATTCTTTTCCTCTCTGTTTTGAAATAATTTCTATAGAATTGGCACTTTTCTCTGCCTTTCTGGTTGAAATCACCAGTGAAACCATTTGGGCGTGGGGTTTTTAAAGAAATTCTAAAATTATGAATTCAGGTATCTATTAAAGACAGAGGTTGATCCATCCCATCTTTTTCTTCTTGAGTGGTCTTACAGTTTGTATCTCTTAAGGAAGTTACCTATCACCCGAATTACCACATTGATTGATGATACTCTCCTAGCATGGTAGGTTGGTTAATATTGAAGCAAGTGACTGCCCTGGCAATTCCTTAATTAAATCCACATACTCTGATAGATACTTGATCTGTTCTCACTTGGAGTCTCCCCTGTGGCAGTTAGAAGGCAGCTGGAGCTGCACTCAGCTAAAGGTCTTCCTGGGCTGGATGCCCACCTGGCTCATGCCCACAGTTCTACATGATATTGGCCGGCAGAAGCTGGAAATTCAGTGGGAACTACAGCTGTTGGCCCGCTAGCTATCCATAGCCTCATCTTGGCTTGTGCTTCCTGGCACCACAGGGACAGGTTTCCAGAGGGACTTTCTAAGGAAGGAACATTGCCACGGGCTTTAGGCAGGCTGGAAATACTAAAAAGTCCCAGGTAGTACCACTCTGTTGCCTTTTGTAATACAGCCTTGCCTCTTGACATTAAATCACCATAGCATGATTATAACTTCCTTCCTTTACATTGGAAGGAAAGTGAGTCTGTAAGCTCTCAATGATGCATATGCCAGGAATTCCCACAGGTCAGGTAAGTAGGTTTAGAAGATTCTGAAAAGGACCACAGCAGCTCTCCTTGTGTATGTTCTTTTTTTTTTTTTTTTGGCGGTCATGGGGTTTGAAGTTTGGGCTTGGGCGCTGTCCCTGCACGCTTCAGTTCAAGGCGAGTGCTCTACTGCTTGAACCAGAGCACCACTTCTGGTTTGCTAGTGGTTTATTGAAGATAAGAGTCTCATAGACTTTCCTGCCAGGCTGGCTTTGAACCGTGATCCTCAGATCTCAGCCTACTGAGTAGCTAGGATTACAGGCATGAGCCACCGTTGCCTGGCTGCATGCCTGTTTTTAATGGCTGCTCTGAAGATTTATGTATGAATTCAGCCTTTATTACCTCTTAATACAACATTTCTTGTGGCCTGTTAATAATAAGAAATGATATACCTAACAACTGTTCTCAGACAAAGAACAGTGAGTTGTAGGACAACTTGGAGGGTTATTAGGGCAAATGAAATAATAAAGGAGAATGTATAAATGTGTGTATACATATCAATCTAAAATAAGAGTCATTTATTAATATCCAACATATGTCCAACACTCTGCTTAGCAGGTGCTCTGTATGCACTAAACTTGTTTGATAATGATGAGAAGTTAATAGTATCTTCTCCCTCGCCTTTCTGCTTCCACTCTCTTCTGCTGGGGACTGAACTTGGGCTACACTGTGTAGATCTGAGCATTCTAGTAAAGTACATTACCACTGAGCTAGATCTCCAGTCCGATTCCTCCCTTTTTAAAAAATGAATGAGGTAAAAGCAAACGAGCATGTTGCTTACCTGAGATCATAAAGCTAGAAATTGTACATCTTTTTTTTTGTTATTCCCTCTCACTTTTCAGAAATACTTTATTCTAATAATTGTTTTACTATCAGATGGCTCACATGTGATATAGGTTAGGAAGCACTCTTACGTGTTGGCACCAAACCACCATGATTTAGTGGTGATTGAGCATGATTGTAACTTCCCTCCTTTATACTTGTGAACTTAGGTTTATGGTTTGATTTTTTTTTGTTTTGTTTTTTTGTCGGTCGTGGGGCTTGAACTCTGGGCCTGAGCGCTGTCCCTCAGCTCTTCAGCTCAAGGCTAGTGCTCTACCACTTGAGCTACAGCACCACTTCCTACGGTTTGATTCTTATACCCAGTTTTATTTAAGAGTATTGCATGGCTGGGCACCAGTGGCTGTAATACTAGCTACTCAGGAGGCTGAGGTCTGAGGATCACTGCTGCAAGCCAGCCCGGGCAGGAAAGTCTGAGAGACGTGACTCTTTTTTTTTTTTAATTGTGAAAATACTGTACAGAGGGGTTACAATTACATGGGCAAGGTAATGAGTACATTTCTTACCAAGCATTGTTGCTTCCTCCTTTGTTTCCCCTTCCCATCCCCCCACCTTGCCAAAGTTGTAAAGTTTGTTTTCTGACATAATGTCTTGTACATCTCATTGTTGCAATGGGTGCATCTGTGTCCCTATTTAAGCAATTTGTTTTTTCCCTTACCCTCCACAAATTATACCAACATATATATATATATATATATATATATATATATATATATATATACAGTGAAAACGGGTTATACCATGGGGAAGGGACATACAAAGCAACAAAGAAATATCTTATAAATATGTTAGAAACAATCACAAGAAAGAAAAAACATTTGACTCTTACCTCCACTTAACTACCAGAAAACTGGAAGTGGTGTGGTGGCTCAAGTGGTAAAACCCTATCCTTAAGCAAAAAGCTCAGGGACAGTGCCTAGGCCTTGAATTCAAACCCTATAACTGACACAGGCTTTAAGATGGTCTCAAACTCAAAGTAAAATATTTAACTGTCTTCTGTCCATCTTGCTTTAAAAGATTGAGGCCTTGGCACATGGCACATTTTCTTTGGGATTTTTTTTCTTTTTTGAGGGTGATGGATAGGGAGATGTTAGTTATAATTAAGAATGCCTTAGTAGTGGTCTAAGTGGCTGGCCCATTCTGCAGTGCTTCTTACCCTGAGGCTAGAGGAACTCTTATCAACTAGTTCTGAATGATGTGATTCTTGTGTGGAAAGCCTTTCAGCACATCTTAGCTTACATATTTGTTATTTGATCCTGAAGTGAACAGGATTGAACCCTCCTGCTAATGTTTTATTGCCCTGCGTAGTCAGTTGTCATGATGTTTATTACTAATAGTTCTTATTATCTCTGAGCTCCAAGTTAAGTGTGTCCTACTTGCCTAAATATGTCTTTTTTCTAGAAGAAGTCTTCAGCCAAGGTAACCCCCAGCATTGTTAGTGCCATCCATAAATATATAAATAAAAATGACTTCTAATCTATTGGTCAAAGGTTAGTTTTTCTTAATGTTTAATGTAAATAAGTATACGTAGGGTAACCTTGCATTGTGTCATCTCATTGAGTATGACTGAGGTAATGAGGATAGAAACGGATCTGTTCTTCAGGCTGGCAGCCTGGAGTCTGGAGAACACATAGGCTATTATATGTGGTAGGTGCTGTCAGAGCATTGGTCTTGCATACCAGTTCTGAATGGAATTGGGTAGTATCATTTTAAAATGTTTTCACTACCTGTTCAGTCATCAGTGACTCAGGCTTTTGAATCTAGCTACTGAGGATGCTGAGTCTGAGGTGCATTTTGGAGCCAGCTTAGGGAGTCAAATACTGAAGACTTTACATTAGTTAGCTAGAATAAAAGCTGGAAATGGTAGTGTGGCTCAAGTAGTAGTGCACCAGCCTTGAGCAAATGAACCAAGAGCTAGTAATGGCATGCATGCACACGTGCGCGCACACACAGACACACCTAAAACAGACATCTTCTAACTATTTTGTATTAGATCTGTTTTGAAGTAGTCCTGTACATTGTGTATTCTCTTGGAATTGAGTTCATCTTTTCATAGTTCTCTTCCCCTATAGTCATAGGCAGTAGGTCTGGGACTGAAACCCATGTTTGCTTGTTCTTAAATCAGTCTTCCTAGTAATAAACCTTGATGCTATTAATAGACCTGGCTAAATGTACATGAATTCTTTCATCTATACAAAATGCAGGTTGCACATTTTTCCTTATTTGGAATTTGATCTCACAATATAATCTTTTGAAGATACAAGATCTTAGAAACAGGACATAACCAACATGTCATACTTTGGATGTGGCAGATTATCTGCACAGCCTACGAGTTTTTCTTTTAATTAAAACTTTTTGAAGTTATTAATTTTAACTCTAGAAAATGAATAGTGTTTTAAGTGAACTTACTTATTTTTATCTTCCTGAGTTTTTTTTTTTATGCTTATGTGGTGCTGAGGAATCGAACCCAGGGCCTCAGGCATGCAAGGCAAGCGCTCTACCACTGAGCTGTCTTCCCAGCCCTCTTCCTGAGTTTTTAACTTTGCCAGGAGTCTTGGAAAATTTGCTGTGGATTTTTTTTTTGTCCGTCATGTGGCTTGAACTCTGGGCTTGGGCGCTGTCCCTGTGCTCTTCAAATCAAGGCAAGTGCTCTACTGCTTGAGCCACAGTGCCACTTCTGGTTTTGTGGTGGTTTATTGGAGATAAAGCCAGCCCAGGCTGGCTTTGAACCGTGATCCTCAGATCTTAGCCTCCTAGGATTATAGGTGTGAGCTACTGATGGCCAGCTGCTGTGGATCTTTATTTGATCAAAGAATGTTCTTTGCATATGTAGCAATGGAAACATATTTTTAAACTTTTTTTAAAATGTGGCCCATCCCATGCTAGAGTTCTTGGCTACCTGTACTATGATAACATTAAAATGAAATAGAGAAATAGTTTTCTTAAATTTACAATTATACTTAGCCGTAAAATGAAAAATTATGTCTACATTTAACCTTCAGGCATTTTATAATATAGAATTATATTCTTATTATTTTATAGTAATGAATTTGTAATTCAGGTAAAGAAAGCATATCAGTACTGATTCCAAAAAAGTCACTTTAGCCAGTGACAGTCAGACTTATCCCCTCCCCCCCCAATCATTTCTCAAAGAGAAAGCCAGGATCTAGTGTTTGTCCTTCCCTCCCTCCCTCCCTCCCTCCCTCCCTCCCTCCCTCCCTCTCCTTCCCATTCTTCTTTTCCCTTCCCCTTCCTCCTTCCCCCTTCTCCTTCCCCTTCCTTTTCCTCCTACCCCTTCCCCTTCCTTTTCCTCTCTCTTCCTCCTTTTTAAATAAAGGGGCTATGTGAAGGTAATATGCTCACTTTTGTCTTTTACTTTCGTTTACAAAGAATATAAGTTGGTTTTCCCTGAACAAACAAAACTTGATCAAAAGGATTTGAGGAGCTCTTAAATTGTTAGATTATGTAAGTATGGGCTGGGAAGGTGGCTTAGTGGTAGAGTGCTTACCTTGCATGCCTGGGGCCCTGAGTTCAAATCCTCAGCACCACATAAGCAAAAAAAGCTGGAAGTGGCGCTGTGGCTCAAATGGTAGAGTGCTAACCTTGAGCTGAAGAGCTGAGGGACAGAACCCAGGCTGAGTTCAGGCTCCATGATCGACCCAAAAAAGTCAGTTTTTCAAATTCAAGGAACTAAGACCACTGGCAAGGAATCCCAAGTCCGCCTTGTCCTCCTCTCAGGAGACATCTAGTTCTCTACTGTAGACCATGGTTGGGCTGTGTACTTCCTAAGAATGTACTTCCTAGAATGTTTATGGTTTAATTAAGGTCACAGATTAGTTCGTGCCAAAACCCAAGAAAGACCTCAAATTTTATTATTTAGGATTATTGTCTCTTATTTATTCATTGAATGGTTGCTAGATTCATGCCACAAACCTAAGTGCTAGAAATTATTACTAGGAAAACAGACTGAATAAATTTATGGTAAGTACTACAAAGTAGCATAGTGAAAACCTTTATTTAAGTGTATCATTCCTGCTGGGTGCAGGTGGCTAACGCCTGTAATCCTAGCTATTCAGGAGGCTGAGATCTGAGGATCATGGTTCAAAGCCAGCCCAGGCAGGAAAGTCTGTGAGATTATCTCCAAT